AGCGATGGCCTCCAACTTAAGAGCGATGGCCTCCAACCTAAGAGCGATGGCCTCCAAGTGTAGAGATAGAGAGTTTTGCTTCACCTTCTCTCCCTAAAATGTAAAATGCTCCCGCCAGGGGTGTTGTGTCCGGCCGCCACTGCGTAGGGAAACGTGCCCTTGTCCTTTTCCCAACTTGTCCAAACTTGACTTCAATGGTGTCAGCCTTCAGTGCAATCCACTGTCAACACTGAAAATGAAGTTCACATACCACAACAGGCCCATCCACAAAAAGGAATCAAATGCGGTTGATCATTCCATCTTGCCCACGGCTTCGCATCCACTGAACATCTTTCAACTTCTTGTAGTGCTCGCTCGAGCACCGCCCCACTGAGCTTCCCCGGCGGCTGCCCGTGCCTTGGCGTTTGCCCGGCGCTCCTCCGCCTCCTTCTGCCGCGCCGCCATGCGCGCGTCCAGCTCCGCCTTTCGGCGCGCGGCACCATCCATCCTCGCATCCACCTGCCAGGCGTAGGGTAGGGAGGAGTGCAGAGGTGCAACAAAATGGAACAAAGAATGCTAGGTGGCAAGCGTTTGGATCAGAAACATGCATTGAAGTAGGTGAGAGGAAATTGAAACGAGTGATTTGGCATGCCTGCCTTGGACGCCAAGTCCTGAGGCACGAGAGATTCAAGGCCACCGAATCGAAAAACTCTTGGATTCAAGCTGACGGGATGAGGAACATAGCTCAGCGATCGAAAAACTCACAGCAAGCAGCAAAAGCACAAAATCCTTCCCACATGTTTTGATCGACAAAATCTTGCACCACCTCACGTTGAGGACTGCTACATGTGCGTAGACTTGATCCATCCAAGAAGACTTCTGAATGGCCCTGGCCTGCGTCTCGGGCGAAGGCCCAGGAGGTGGTCCGACAGGCCCCGGAGGTGGTCCCGATGGCCCCGGAGGTGGTCCCGACGGCCCAGGAGGTGGTCCCATGGGTGCGGAGCTGGTGGAAAAGCTGGTGGAGACATGCGAGGGTGAGCTGGACGACACATGGTGCGATGGCGATGAGGTGGGGCACGCGGCGGGTGGGGGCCCAGCCGGCCCGGGTGGAGCCGCGCTGGCCGAGACATGAGATGGAGATCCAGTGGGAGAGGCAGCACCAGTCTTTGGGAGCGCCGCAGGGCTGGGAAGGGCAGATGGCTTGGATGGCAGTGCAGATGGTGTGGGCAATGCTGCAGGCGTTGGGAGGGCTGCAGGTTTTGGTAAGGCCGCAGGTGGTGATGCACCAGGTGGTGGGCCCATTGGCCCTGGCGGCTTGTTGGGACCTGGCGGTGGCCCTGATGGGCCCGGGGGTGCCGCTGCTGGTGGAGGAGGACCAGATGGACCTGGTGGTGGTTGATTTGGTCCTGGAGGCCCTGGTAAGGCTGAGGCTTTGGGGCCGGGTGGGGACCCAGCGGGTCCCGCTGGTCGATTTGATCCGGGGGCGGTCGGGGCTGGTGGGCCAGGCGATGGGCTGGTGGGTCCTGGCGGGGCACTGACTGGCTGGCTTGGTGGTGCTGCGAGCGGTGGTTTGGAGGGTGGCTCTGCCCCACTTGATGGCTGGCTTGGTGGTGACGCAGGTGGCACGGCCAATGAGGCTGAAGGACGTGCCGGTGGTTGTGCAAGAGGGGCACCTGATGATGGTTGGCTAGGCTGTGCAGGTGGTGGAGTCACTGAAGGGCGTGCAGGTGGCTGTGACAGGGGTGCACCCAGCGAGGGCCGGGCTGGTGGTTGAGCAAGTGGTGCGCCCAATGAAGGGCGAGCGGGCGGTTGCGCCAAAGGCGCGCCCAACGAAGGGCGGACAGGTGGCGTTGCAAGTGGTGGACTCTTTGTTCCTGTTTGGGGTGGTTGAGCAAGTGGTGGGCTGCTTGGCCCTGGTGGCGGTGGCAAGCCTAAAGACCCTGGTGGCGCACTGGTCGACTTACTAATCACAGGGCTCGGTGCTGTCGGCGCCGGCGGTGTTGTTGGGTCTGGTGGTGGGCTGCTGGGCCCCGGTGGTGCTGGGGCAACGGGTGCCGGGGGGCTCAACGCTGGTGATGTACTGGGTGCCTTGCTGAGTGGGGCTGTCGGTCCTAATGGTGGAATCGCAGGGCTTGTTCTGAGTGGGGCTGCAGGTCCTGGAGGAGTGGTGCGACCTGTTGGGCAAGCTGCAGGCGATGGAGTTGGCATGGCCGGTGTGCCTCGCAGGGATTCCACGTATCAGGTGTTTCAGATTCCAAGTGCACCAGATTCTGCATTGAGGCCTGGACTGGCAGACGTCGCCTTCAAGCCGCAGCAAGCCAAGGTCTTTCAAAAGGAATTACAGTAGCGTCCTGGCTCCTAGTACCGATGCCCTTTGTTACTAGTAGCGCCTGTGCTCCTAGTAGTAAGGCCAGGAGCCCCGTTCGTAGCGTCCTTGCTCCTTACGTGAAGTGAAGCTCGTCCGGTGCCTGGACAGCAGGTGCCACCAGTGGAGGGGCCACGGTCGCCGCTGGCCTGGCCAAGGCCGACTAAAACAGGACCCACCCCGGTCACCTCCTCTGTCTTAGCAATGGCTCTCCGGTTTTTTCATGTGGGTTTCTTTGAAGACTCCTGCAGATTCCAGATGATTCCAGAACACATCCAAGGGGTTGAGTTGCACCAATGACTCCCAAAAGGCCTTCCAAACACATCACGTTTCTTCGGCGACGACGGTGGGCGCAGGAGACCCGAACGTGCCTTGCAGGGGCCCGCGCGGCCTGTGTGGCTGGAACGATTGATGTAGGAAGAGAGGCAGCCTGTTTTTGTAGTGTTTGGATTGCGGTGAGATTGGCCCTGCCAGGGAGGTCCCCAGGTTTATTTGAGACGTGCTTGCGCGCAACCAACGAACATCCAATCTCATCACATGACTCCCTCACGCGCAATTGAAAGAATGTGACTCTTCCAAAACCTCCGCCTGGTCGTCAGGTGGCTGTGGGCCTGTGGTTTCGTTGGGGCATGACAGGGCTTCATGCCAGCAGTGGCTCAAGTGATGAACAGCCCTTAGAGCCTAGATTTGAGTTCGTGGTTGTGTGCGATCCGAGCTTGCCGGCGTGAGAGGCAGTCCGAACTTAGGCCACGGCTGCTGGCCAAGGAGTTGGTGGTGGCCTGAACCTCCAAAAACCACCAAGTGCTGGCAAATATCACAGAGGCATTCTCATCTCCCAGG